TCAGCTTAACGCCCGGAGCAGACACAGCGGCCGCCCCCCCCGGTTGTTACGCCACTGCCTGGCGACTAGCATTTTCATAAAATGTCCGCAATGGAAGCAGAAAAAAAAAACCCTAGGGGCAGGACGTACCTGCAGAAGCTTTGAATAGCCCTGACCTGCAGAAATGCCAGATTAGGAGAAGCTTTGGCACTTGACATAAAACTTTACTCCCACACAGTCGTGTTGGCCATTGAGGCAAGCAGTCATAGTGATGGGCTGATAAAAATGTAAGGGGCAGACAAATCCAGACACAACTAGAAAGTATTAGAGCTTTGACCAGCCAGAATGGCCTGACATTTGGTCAGTGTAGGCACTGAAAGCTGCTCTAGGTATACGTAGGCACCTCTAGGTGCCTGCCCTTTAAACTTTTGAGAAGCTTTTTAGGGTTTGCGTAAATGGGCGTTGCTGCCAAACACTGGCGTCTAGATTCATCGCACTGCTACAAACACAAAAGGCTGTGATTGACCTGCTTTGCCTGCAATGCCATTTTTCTGTGTTCAAAAATATGTAACTAGCGCAAAGCAAGTCAAACGCACCCTCAGATCTCTCACTCACACTGCACCATTGAGGTAAATTGGAATGCGCTGGCCTGCAGTTGATGTGGGTTTCAAATGAACTTTCAATCAATGCTTTGCATAAACAAGCACTGAAATTGGAAAAGTCATTTTAAACTCCGGAGGCAACTGCAGAGTTAAGGACAACATTGTTTTATATGTCACGGGGTAGGCAACCTTGGAAAGCCAGCTGTTGGGGCACTACAAGTCCCATGAGGCATTGCAAGACTCTGATAAGCAAAAGCATGACTCCCAGAAGCAAAGGCATGATGGGATGTGTAGGTTCACCACAGCTGGAGTGGCGAGGTTGCCTACCCCTGGTATATCACCTTCACTACACACCCTTTTAATCAGCAATTAGACAGTCAGTGCTGATCTTATATACATTTCACATAGTCTAGTGCCCACTAATTCTGCGTGTGCTTTGTAGAATTCAATAGGAATGTCGTCTGGGCCTGGTGTCTTTCCATTGGGGAAGGAGCTAATGGCGGCTAGTACCTCAGGTTCAGTTATGGGTCTTACCAGGAAATCACGTTGGCTGTTGGACAGCCATCCCAGGGCTACCGAGTCTAGCAGGGGCCGCACTCTGAGTGCCTACAGACATCTTGCTGCATTCGGCCAGCACAGCTAAGATGGCCGCCTCTGAGCCACCACAAGGCTTGCCCCCCGACGAACGGGTTGATCTGTATTTGTTCCGCCGCATGCAGAAGTCTGCCGAATGTCCGTGCCGACTCCAGAGGGGTAGAGCAACACCTGAGCTCAGGTAAGTGGCAAAAACTCAGCGCCAGGATAGTGTCAGGATATTGTATGGAGCGGAGCTTCCCGTGCACACGTCTACTCCGGCTCACATGCTGGCCACGCCCCCTCATAGCCATGGAACTTTTATGGCAAGTGCGCAATAAAGAAATCAGTAAAAAAAAAAACAACATCAGTCTGCGGGATTCTCAGGCACTGCTTTATTCCAGGAGCAAAACATACAATACTATGACAAGGAATAACAAAGTGATTTTATGACATGACTCGAAAAACATAGTTTTACCTGACAGTAAATGAGGCACAAATACATAATATATCGCTTCTTCAGTACAAATAAATAGATCGCAGATGGGAAGCTGCATTCAATACACTGTACTCAGTGCACAGGATTTGGGTGGTCGCTTGTTTGGATTCTCACCTCCTCAGCTGATGGGGTACAGAAAAACAGCTACCACCTTGTTGCACACCACCAGCCAACATGTAATACCAACTCCACCTGAAACACAGAGAGTGTATCATTAATTCAAGTGATGAAAGCCCCAGATAAGGTCCTGTAATGAGATAATGTACCAGCAAACTAAGCAGCATCAGCTGACGTCGGGTACATAAGGCTCATGATTGGAGGAAACCTGTTAGCTTGTCTCTGCAATCGGAAGTTTCACTTGTGAGGCTAGTTTGCAGGGGTATCGGCAGTTTCGGAACCGTGGTTCTCCTCTCGGCCCCCCGTGTATAAGACGCCCCTCCATTTTTAGGTAAATATTTTAAGAAAAAGTATAGTCTTATACACAGAAAAATACAGTATAAAACCCGCCCACACACACACACCTCACCAACCTGTCTCCCCCATACCACTGACTCCATCCTCCACCCCCATGCTATTCTCCACACTTTATCCATGTTGACTAACCATATGGTTTCATGATGGCTATTGTCTAATCCTGACTACTACCTCATTCTCATCTACCTTTCTACCTTTTCCTCACTTCACAACCCATGGAAGAACAAACAGAGACTCCCCAACTCTTGGATATGGGCTAACTAGACCTTATGCTTAAACTGGAATCATCATTACCCAGATATCCTGGATGCATACCTACCTAAAAGCCAATACACCATCTCTGCAACAAACCTTTCTAGAGAAGAAAAAGTTTTCCTGCACTGTACTATTTAAGGTTGTAATCTTCTTAAAGGTGTTATTATTGTTACAAAATGATACTGAAGAGATTCTTATTATGGGCTCTATCTGTCTATGACTGGGCTGCCAATTCAATTCGGTAAACTCAAAATAAAAGAATTTACATAAAAACCTTCTACTAAATGATAAACATGACCATTCCAAAACTACTGCAGGAGAACTCAGCTAAGCTGAGTTGGTACATCCACACCTAACCTCAATAAGACTTCAGAAAAACAACAGTCCTTTCGTTTTATGTGATCTCTGTGACCCAACAGTTGTACACTGTTCATCTTGGATCATCAACGGTGCAAAAAACAATCTTAAGCACCGTTTTAACACCATCCACTATTATTAAGGATTAAAGGAGAACTATGAGATGAGTGATTTCCACTCACCTCATAGTTCTAGCCGACCTGTGACAATGAGACTGTCACAGGTCGGCTCAGTAGATCGGGAAGTGAGCGAACACATACCGGCGTTCGCTCACCTCTCGATCCTGTCACGGCTCTCTGCTGTGACAGGGGAGGGGCTGGATTCCCCTCTCCGATCTGCCAGCGCTGACTGGCGGAACGGATAGGGGAGGGGGCGGGTACAGCTGGCTCTGCCTCTAGATAGGCAGAGCCAGCTGTCACTCACGCAGCTGGGCGGATCCCGACGTCTATGTCGGGATCCGCTCCGGCTGCGGCGTCTCAGTATACCGCGAGCTGTAGCTCGCGGTATACTGAGCTTAGGGTAACGGGAGGACGCTAGTTTGTGTCCTCCCGTTACCCTAAGGAGAACTATGGGGAAAAACACTGACCGCATATAGTTCTCCTTTAAGGGATATCATTTACAGTCGACCTCCAGGCGAACCACTAAATACACAGATGAAATAAATATAAGGGAGCCGTTTTAGCTGCCAAAGGATTTTTATTCCTGTCCATACGGTGCTGAGATGTACACAGCCCTGCGAGTCTTGTCATCACAAGCCATGCAGCCTCTGGAAAAGATTGAGGGCCTATGCACGCTAGTCCGTTTTCAAGCAGCAAAACTTTTGCATTCTGCTGCAGGAAAATGCATGTCTAGAACAATCCCATTCTTTTTTTTTTTCATTCTTTATTTTTAAAACAGGATTATCCATACAAGAGCGCTGCACATCAGTGAAAATACAATACAGACATGATCCGAGATTTCAATACCGATAAAAGGCAGATATGTCATTGCCTGGATCCTTTTGGATCCCATTGCATGGATAACTTTTCCAACACAAGTAATATACACAACATTATACATACATGGGGACATTCTAATTACATAGGGAGGGAAGCTTATTCCTGTATGAACCTGTTGCCTTCCTCAACAGCCCTGTAGTGTCATGTATTGCACCTCAACTAGGAGTCCCCCCTTGACATTGTATACCTTCCAAGGCAGTATCGTCGACTGGGGTATAAAGTGCTTGGTTCACCGTCGTCTGATCACGGGGTGCCTCACAGGAACACCCGTTCCCAGAAACGCGTAGAAGAAGCCAGCAGCTGGAGTGTATCGTCGGGAAGTATCTGTCTACCCTAGTTCGTGGGGCATCTGAGTTATCTATATCATTGAGGTATCGTAGTGAACCAAGACATACATATATCTGGACATATAAGGTCAGGAACATACAGTAGAAGGTGTAGAACAGAGGAGGAAGAATGAAAGAAAGAGAGAGAGGTCTCTCCCGGTGGGCCACCAGGTCAGGCTCACTCAGTGTAACTGTGGGTCCACGGTTGAGTCAGAGGTGATATGTGTCAGGTATTCCGGAGAGCGTAGAAATTCCGCCCAATAGAACCATATTTTATTAAAGGAGTGTGCAATTCAGGGGTCGAGGCCGTCAAGTCCTCCATTCGCCAGATTTCATTAACTTTGCTTAGCCACATTTTCACTGTAGGTGGTCTGGTATCTCACCAGAGTACAGGAATGCATGCTTTAGCTGCATTGAGTAGGTGTAGTAACACTGATCTCAGGTACCCCTTTTTCGAGATTGTATTGTGGTGCAGAAGGAAAAAGGTGGAATGTCTCGTTCAGTAATTGTGGGTAAAAGTAACCTGATCGCTCTCCAGTAGTCTTGGAGAGCTGGACAAGTCCAAAAGATGTGCAGCATGGTGCCCTCGGTTTGGCCGCAGCGCCAGCAGGCCGAGGATACCCCAGGATAGATCCTGTGAAGGGCCGCAGGGGTTCTATACCATCATGTGAGAGTCTTGTTATTACACTCCTGGATCTTGGTGCATCTAGACGTCTTGTGTGTAAAATACAACATTTTGTCTCGCTGTTCTGGAGTGAACTGGAGCCCCAGTTCATTTTCCCACCTGGAAACGTATGGGGGGTTACTATCCTCTGTGTGGGATTCCAGCAGTGTGTAGACCATGGAGATTACATGGCGTAGTGGTGGTCCCAGTTACATTCCCGTTCCATATCTGTCGGGGATCTTACAAACGCCTTGGCGTTTGGCAGAGATCTGAGAAAGTAAGACAACTGTATCTTTTGCCAGAATCTCAGAGGGAGCCATTGGGGTTCCTGTGACATGTTTTCTAGGGACACCCAGGAATCGTTCCGAGTAAAGTGTTGTGCCCTGTGGATACCCGCTGTCAGCAAACCAGGGGTGTCACCTCCCCACAGGGTCAGCGGGCGCGGCGCAGGGTACGGGCCTCCCTCCAGCCTGGCAGAACCACTGGCACCCGGGTTGCAGGTGCGCATGCGCGAGTCGTGCGGCGGCTGCGCGCGCATCCCCAGGAGCATGCCTGCACCTGTTTAGGCCTCAGGTGTGGACCTAGCTGGGGGAGGTTCCCGTACACACCCATACCACCTCCCGCCTGCCATTGGCTCTCGTGGAGAGAAGCCTCCTAGTTGCCTCTGTGACAGGGGGGCGGACTTACACCCCCTGGCTATAAAAACCTGGCCAGAGCTCTGGCTTGTTGCTGAGTTATCTCATCCTGTGGTGTGATTTCCTAGCTCCCTGTACATGTGCCTTGCTTTGTTTCCTGACCCTTTATCTGGACCTCCTGTTGCCAACCTTGGACTGCCTTTCGCCCCTGAACCTTTGCTGCCTGCCTCGATTCGGATTGGACTTGACTTCTCTTTGGATTAATCCTTTTGTACCTCTGCCTTCGGACGCTTCAGGCCATTTCCTGCCAGTGAGTTCCACTTTGTTCTTCTGCCAAACCATTGGCACTCCTGACACCCGCCTACCTCAACGCAAGGAGTCCCGGATCTTCCAATCCCGGGGTTAAACCAGGATTTCCCAAGATTGGGAACAAGGGGGAAGGTGCTGGAGAGATATTGTTCCACGGAAAGAATTTACGCCTTACTGTCCATGTCGGCCCTATGGTAGGATGAGTTTTTACCGTGGTCGGGATCTCGCTCTCGGTGCGGGAAAGGTCCGCCGGGATATTGGTGCCTAGATATTTTAGTGACTCCACCTCCCAACGAAATGGGAACGCTGACTTGATCCCATTCCTTTCTATGTGGCTGGTTCATATCTATACATGTGCACGGCAGATTAGTATGGCAGCTCTATAGGGCCCATCACATCTACATGTGTGCGTCGCCATGTGCGCTTCAGTGCACACAGTTCAATCACAATCCGGCCTGAAGGGACCCCTGGGTTTTATATTAAAGATAAATTCCACTAAGTTTGCAGACATGTATATTAGCTAATATGGACTTCCCCTTTAATAACAGACACTAAGCACCTTTTCATGGCAAAAAAACAAACCTAAAGGCTAGCTACTAGATTTCTTTTAGTCAGCCCCATAAGCTGGACAAGATAAATCTTCGATTCCCCCTTCCTCCTATAAACTGGATGTAAGAATATCCATCTGCCAGCTATTGTATTCAGACAGCCAGCACCCACCGCTGTCTGGATACCCATACAATGACTGCCTCTGATTGGATGTAGTTACTGTTCAGCCAACAATTTTCCACTCCGCACCTCTGAGTTTGTAATCAACTTGTGTCGAGCCGGCTGGTGCCAAGAGGGCCACCCATAACTCAATTTTTCCAGCCGTCTATGGCTAAGCATTACTGTTAGGCTTCCCCCATCTCTAACCTCCAACAAGAACACATGATTTACCGTAAAGGGCTAAAGAGTGAGCAAAGTACCCCAGAAGCCCACTGCTGTCCTATGGAACCAGCAAACGTTGTTGTACTGGCTAATGGGTTCAGATTTTGATGGATGCTAATGGACATAGTTTTCTATTGTGTGAGACCTACACCCAAAATTCCTGCTCTGATCCCACCCAAGCAGACCAGAAAACACTGAGCAGAATTCTAGTTCCAGAGCTGGTTTTATCGTTACCTGCAATCCCTGTAGGAAAGGCGACCAGGCGTTCCAGAGGTGCAATCCATTTACTGGGCAGCAGGATAACGGGTTCAGAGTAATACTTCCATATCAGGCAGATCATCAGAGCAGCCTGGGGGGAACAAAGGACACAGGTCACCATATTATAAAAACAGAGCAGAGTTTATATCAGAGGAACACATGGATTTTGTTGGTGAGTACAATTTGTTACCATTGTAATATGTAGAAACAAGGCAAACAGCTAAATATAATGATAAAATTATTATACAGAATTTATATAGCGCCAACAGTTTGAGCAGCGCTTTACAATATAAGGAAGACGTTACAATTACAATACAATTCAAGACAAGATGGTAAGGAGGGCCCTGCCCCTGAGGGCTTACAGTCTAAAAGGGAGGGGGAAGTGATACATGAGGTGGTAGCTGTGTGGAGATTAATTGATTGAGAAAGTGATAGTTCAGTGGTTAGTTTGAGGTGGGATAGGCTTCCCTGAAGAGATGAGTCTCCTGACACTGTCGGGCTCTCAGTCCATGACCGAGTGCCCGACTTTTTAGAAGGTATGACACCAAAATGGTGTCACCCCTCCAATGGTGTCACCCGTGTGCGGGCCGCACCCCCCTTGTGATGCCACTGCCCTCTAGAAGGAAGGACAGCGTCAGCACCAATTCAGAGATGATTGGAGGATCTACAGCCGAGTGATACACAAATAAGATACATTTTGTTAATAGTTCAGGTACCTGAATGTATTTTTATGATTTAACTCCTGAGTGTAGTGTCACTTTTAGTATAATTCATTTTAAAAGTAGTTGACTTGTTGGTTCTGAGCTATACCTTGTTTGTTCGTAATAACATTATTTGATTGTTATACTTTAATGGAGAACTATGGGGTTTAAGGCTTTTCCCCCTAATTCTCCTTAGGGTAACAGGAGGACACAAACTAGCGTCCTCCCGTCACCCTAAGCTCAGTATACCGCAAGCTACAGCTCGCGGTATACTGAGACGCCGCAGCTGAAGCGGATCCCGACAATTATGTCTGGATCCGCCCAGCAGCGTGAGTGACAGCTGGCTCTGCCTATCTAGAGGCAGAGCCAGCTGTACCCTCCCTCGTCCGTTCCGCCAGTCAGCGCTGGTGGATCGGAGCGGGGAGGGGGTATTCCAGCCTCCACGGCAGAGAGCTGTGACAGGATTGAGAGGTGAGTGAACGCCGGTATGTGTTCGCTCACTTCACGATCTACTGAGCCGACCTGTGACAGTCTCATTGTCACAGGACATTGCCTGCTGCCCTGGGAGAAGAAGGTGGCAGTGATTAATGTCTACCCTGGCATAGATCCTACATCCCTGTATGTCAGCTACATAATATAAGCCTGGCCATTAAAGAGATTTAGAGACACTGGATATAAAGAGTGTGGACTGATGAATAGAGAGAACATGCATTATTATATTTACGGACTTGCTGAAAAGAATTCAAGCGATCCAGGGAAAAACAAACAAAATTGATAATTGAATAGGAAAAAAAAATGAATGGCTGATGTTCTGCACCCTTGGTCACCTCACTATTCCCAAACTCACTAACTCGACGGTGAAGAAGCAGCAGCACATTAAAATAATTAGCTTTCCCTTCCTGTAAGCTAGCTCCCAGTATAAGACTGATGGCACTGTGCAATGAATGAGGCCCCTGATTGGCTCACAGTTCTTGCCCTCCCCCCCTCGTTGACCCCTTGAGTGCAGGAAAACATGGGGAGATACAATAAATACAGATTTCAGGTACTAATATGTTTAGAAATACATGAAATGATTTTGTAGTTAATATTAAAAGATTATGTTTTAGATAGATGATTGGGGTCCAGCATAACCTATTTCAGGCTTGATAAATGTTGGTAAAAGTACACTTATTAAAGCTGAATTCCAGGCAAAAAGCTAAATACATATATGGGAGATGTCTGCCAAAGGATTTGTATCTCTGTCTATCCAGCTCGGAGGACATGAGACCTGATTTTTTTTTCCTGCTACAGTTAGGCCTTGTTCACACCAAGCGCGTAGCAGGTGCAGACCGGATCAAAACTGCGTCCTATGTATTCCAATGGTATTTTTTGCTCCAGTTCACATCGCAGCGTGCAGTTCCAGAGCAGGAAAAAAAAACTGCAGCAGGCCCTATTTTACCTGCTCTGGAACGCATGCAAACGCATCAAAAACGCATGCAAATGCCTGGAACGCACTGAAAGCCCATGTTTTTTTTTTTTAATTATAATTTGTTTTTAACCAAAAACGGCCCGGAACGCATCAAGAACGCGGCAAAAAATGCGGCACAACCCACTGCACTTCGTGTGCAGAAACCTGAGCGGATCTGCTCTGCATTTGGTGTGAACAAGCCTTAAAGGATAAGTTCACCTTTTGCAAAAATCAAAGAAATGCATAATTAATAATATATTTAAAAAATGCATTTCTTCAATATTTGCATTCAAGTCTGGAAAGTAGGGATGCACCGATATATCGGCCGAAGAGACATATCGGCCAAAAATGGCACTTTTGGCACAATGCCGAATGCCGAAATATTAAAGAAATGCAGATTTTTTTATATATTATTAATCATGCATTTCATTAATTTTTGCAAAAGGTGAACTTATCTTTTAAGTTACATTTACAGGTACTATCCCTCCCCCAAACAATGATTGGACAGTGAAAGAAGAAGCAGCAGACTGATAAGTGCATCGATGTCAATCTGCTCTCTCCACCTATCAGCATGTTTCTTGTTAGCAGCTCGGTTTCATTCTGTTCTGTCCTAGCAGCATGTTCCTTTTTAGCACATGAGCACAACTGATTGGCTCCTTGTGATGCTTCCCCCTCTCCCAGTCTGAACTTTACTGTAGAGTGAACTCGTTGATACCAGGTATTTGCACTGCTTGCATTTAAAAACAAGATACATTTCATGATGTATTAATGAATGACTTTCTCTTTTTGATATATGCCTGGAGTTTGTACTGCCATGGAAAAGACTGCACATGAAAGTTACATAACCGCCAAACATTTCGGCGTCTGGACAGGTATGAGCACATTTATTAAGGAATATTATCAGCAGCTTTTTGTGTAATGTAATCTTTTTGTGTTTGGGCATACTTGTCCTATCAATGGAAAGGGGGGGGGGAGCAGAAAACAGGTGTGAAAGCTTCCCCTAGGAATGTACGGAGATGAAGCCTCAGCTTGTGATATACACAAGCCACCAATAACAAGGGAGCTAGGAAGAGGAGAGTTGTCATTTGAAATGCTGTTTTGTAAGTCAGATCTTGCCAAGGGCAAAAAGATTTCATCCGCCCCAATGCCTTTTATGCTTGAATTCTTTAACGTTAGGGAGGGGCAGCTGCCTGGGCATGAGCTGTGTGCAGCAGAGGGGAATCCACCATCATACCCCTTCTTCCAAAAGTGTACTCTAGGTGTGGCAGGCTGCATGGAATCCGGGCTGAATGGATACCGGGGGAGAAATGGCACATGCATATCCTGCAATGATGTGCCAGGGAGCTTATACATAAATACACAGCAGCCATAGACCCTGATTTACTAAAGGAATAGACCATGTACACTCTCAAAGTACATTTTCACTTATGTTAGTGAAGGAGGTCAAGCAAAGTGAAAATTAACTTTGCAAAGAATACCCAATCACATGCAAATTTTTTTTTTTTTTAAACAAGATTTTTCCTCGCACATGAATGGATGACTTCACCTCGTTCACTAAGCTATGATTACATCTACTTTGGAGGGATATCCAGGAACGCCCATGTTGATACTATATTGCCAAAAGTATTGGGACACCCTCCAAATCATTGGATTCAGGTGTTCCGTGAAATTTCCTTGCTACTAAATATTCCACGGTCACCTGTTACTGGTATTATAACAAAGTGGAAGCAACTGGGAACAACAGCAACTCAGCCATAAAGTGGTAGGCCACGTAAAATGACAGAGCGGGGTCAGCGCATGCTGAAGCGCACAGTGCGCAGAAGTCCCCAACTGTCTGCAGAGTCAATAGCTAAAGACCTATAACTCAATATTGACTATGGACCAATACTGGGATGCCATTAAAGTTCATGTGCGTGTAAAGGCCGGCGTCCCAAAACTTTTGGTAATATAGTTTATCTCCTATAAATAAACGGTGCACATCTTCTGTATGGATTCTTTGAAATATTAACACTTTTAATACAATCGCCTTTAAAGTGGACCTTTACTCCCTTTCACTAAAAATCACATCGGCAGGCTGACATGAAATCATCTAACATTGATTAGTTAAATAAACATATTTTTCTTTTACTTACAATGATTGTTTGTGATGTTATCTGTGCCCAAGCAATGCATCCTGGGAAGGTTACATCAGCAGAGCTTTGCTAAGAAAATCTCATCTGTAATCTCACAAGATCTCAGGGAAAGGCAATTGGTACCAATTGTTCAAATGTGATTGGCACCCATCTAAAAATCAAGAACTCTACTCTGGGGTGAAATGTCAGCCCATCTGACCTCATGGGGTCCTTAATAGCCACTAGGGGTCAAGTGTTTTGAATGCAGTTAAAACTGCGAGGTGCATTGTCCATGTGTTTTACCTCCTTTTTACTTCAATTTCCTCACTGCAAACATGTGAAATCATTCATATGTGGCACTATTTAACCCCTTCGTGACTGACGACGTACAGTGTACGTCGCCAGCATCGGGGCTGTTTAAACAGACTCCCGGCGACTTTTGCCGCCGGGAGTCTGTTTAAACTTGTGAAGCCGACTGTCGGCTTTACAACAGAAGCGATAAATTGGAGAATGTTTCCAAATCAGCTATGTTGTCCTAGACCAGGGGTGCCCACAATTTTTGTGTTAATGATCTACTTTTCAAATGACGAGCTACATGAGATCTACCAATGAAAAACAAAAACGGTTGTCTCGCTCTCCTGGCTGTCTCGCTCTCTCTGGGTCTGTCTCTCGCTCGCTCTCTGGCTGTCTCGCTCGCTCTCTGGCTGTCTCGCTCTCTCTGGGTCGCTCTAAAGTCTCTCACTACTCTGCAATATTACAGAACATCGGGAAGCTAGACCTCCTACTTCTCCTCCTTACATGCTCAGCCCTCTATCCTAAAGTCGCTGCTCTC